GTCTTCAACATTTTCAACATTTGAAGTGAAATACCCTGAACTCCTTGGTCCACAGTTACTAAATTATCAGCAGCTGCAAGAAACCTTGATGTCACAGAAATTGACACATGTAGAGTAAAATCTTCCCAAACATAAGTATCTTTAAAGTTTGCATTCTAAATGCAATATGATATTTTAATTAAAAGCAATGTCAACATTAGTCTGTAGGGTATGTGCTGCTTGGGTTTTATGAGGAGAAAATGTAAAAACAAAAAGTACGGGTGACAGCAAAGAAAGATGTGACTCCAGAGATGGTATAAATTGAGGACCTCTGCACAAAAGCACCTCTGTGGGCTGGTCTAAATTAGGCTAGCCAAACAGAATAGGCCGTTTATTTCTTGCATTTTTTTCTTATCAGTGGTGCCACTGGCTCAAAGGTCCTCCACAACTCCAGATGGCCAGTCTGTCCTTGAGCAGCAGTACCATAAACGAATCAGGCCTCTGAAAAGGTTGGTCATTCAAATCTCTAGACAGTGAATGAGAACACTCTTCCACTCCTCAACAACTACTTCCAAAAGCTGCTATTTGTAAGGCATTGAACTCCCACCTGCTCTTATGAAGCTGCTCAGTGGTTAAAAATGTCAAAGAGGTCCATCTGAGGTGCAGTGTTTGAAGGTCTAGAAACTGAATTTTATATTAATAAGTGTGGTTTCCTTTGTTGTTGTAGATAGGCCTTTTTTTGTTTTTTGCAGCCACTGTAGTTTTCTCCAGAGCATTTAGCTCTCTAAGCCACCGCACTATCCCCCAAAGAACAGCATTCAGTAAATGTCCAAAAACGACACATTTACATTCTTGGGACAAAACTGTCTCGCAGCCACAAGAGTTGCGCATTTCCTATCAACATCTATTAATTTCTTTTTCATCGTTAATAGGAGCTTCAGATCGGAAAGTGCTTTTATGTGGCGTGACAACATATTTTGTCATTTTATTTGCAGGACTTGAAAAATATTGAAAATAGAATTTTGACTTTATGATGGTGCTAGTGGAAAAGCTAAGGGATCACCAAAGTTATTGCAATTCATGCTGAGGGGGGCAATAATGTCTGTACCAAATTTCCTGACAATCCATCCAGTGCAAAATTGTCAACATCATGGTAGTGCTTAAGAAATAGACAGGAGATCCCCAATGTCACTGCCAATCCATCAAATAGTCCAAAATCCAAAAAATAAGTTAAAACTCTGACCTGCTGGTGAAAAATCAGGTGGTTATCATAGTCATTAGGATTTATCCTCTGGGAACTATGGCTACCTGTGCAAAATCAAATGGCAATCCACCCAATACAGTAGTTGAATGGAATAAATTCACACAAATTCTTTTACCAATACCTACCAATGCTTCTCCCTGTTAACATCATTTTCCCCTCTTTTTCTTTTCACTGTCACCCCTGAATGTGACATGCTACCTGCCAATTATATCTTGCTTCCCACCCAGTTGATAGGAGTGATGTAGAGATGTGGGGTGCTGGAGCAGAGCCCTTGGGGGATGGCTGGGGTAAAATATGAGTGTCTTGCCAGTTCCAATGAAATGTTGGAGTGGCCTGTTACACAGTGTGCCCTCCCCTTCGTCATATATCACACAGCACCACCATATCTTCTCCAACAGGTTCAGTAAATCTCTCACTGTTTTTACAGTTTAAACTGTTACTCATTGCTTATCTCGAGCCACCCCCCCCATGGCAGGTTGTGGAAGAACATTGTGGACATCATGCCAAGTGCTGTTGGGCCCAATACTGTAGTGATGGAACTTTAATTACATCTCCCCCACATTTGATTTCTCAGGATACCTCTTATTCCTTAAAACATACAGATTTGGATGATGAGCATAGGAAAAGTTCCAGAAGAATTACAACTTTCATACTCATGCTCATTTGAAATGTATGGATATTTCTTGCATACATTGCTGTCAACTCAGTCAGCTGACTTACTGTGGAGCAGGTGACAGCAGGATGTGAATTGCATTTCAGCACACTGGCACATATCCATCTTTGTGCCAAGTATAAGGTTGGACTGTTTATGGTAACTTTGCAGAATTGTGGCCAAATTGTCACACAGATAGTCAGTGGTAGTGTCTATAATGTGAATTCATGGATGTTAAATGTTAATGTGCAATTTTCTGTGGTGGTCCCTGTAATATTTGTTTAAAATGTACTATAGTAGCATGTCACATGAAATTTCTAAATATGTTTGAGTCAAAAAAAATGTGTTGCAAAAACAATATTTTCCAACCCATATTTTATGATTGATCTCTTTTTTTTTATTTGAAAGAGATATTATAATAACGCAGAAGCTAAAAGCAGGAAGTACCAGCAGAATATTCTATTCCTTGCAATAGATTTGTGGCTGTCAATGTGTAAAACACCTGTAAAAGCATCCTAAGGATGTAACTGAGGGCTGTTTACACCGATTCATTTCGAAAGAGCAACAGCCAGTGGGGAAACTCATTCACTCGACTGACCAATGGTGTAATTTCATCACTCAGTAAATCAGGGACAGACTTTTGCTTTTATAGGGCTGGCATCGCTTTGCTGATGTAGCTGAAAGTAAAATTTTATCAGTATTTTTTACTTTTATTTAAACTAGTCATTCCATCACTTATGTACTATATATACAGTATGTTCATGCATCCAAATGTGTTGACAAGTTCATACCAGTCAATTGTATATCACAATGTGTGTTTGTGTGTGCATGTGGGCAGGAGTGTGTATGTATAAATTGGTGTCTGCGGGTAAAGAAGGTATCAGCAGCAGTAATCTAATTATCCTGACACTAAGTGAAGGGCACAAAGGGATTATGGAGGTTAAGTACTGCATTCCATTAGTAGTCTGACACTTATCACCCCTATCAATTCATTATCTATAATTATCCTGATATCAGCTGAAAAGACCAACGAATTCTACTGAAGTGAAACAACCCGGAACTGTTCTGTACTTTCAGTGCTTTGAATATAAGATGCTCGAATCCCTGAAATAGCCTCCTTTCCACAATTCCCTAACAGGATGCACTGCATCAGGGGAAGCTGGGGATTAAGCTGAATTGTCACTGGGGTTTGTATCAGTGCATGATTCTGGTATGAGAGTCAGAGTGAGTGGGAGGTGAAAAAAATGTAAGTCGCCCTCTGGGTGCAGAGGGGTCTACTTAGCACATGAATAATGTAATGAAATAGCTAGTGATTTATTCTACAGTAAACACACCCTTTTGACAGAATGTCCTCAGATGGCGAGTGTTTGTAGGTGGTTGTGTGTTTTGACACCTCCGTACATTGCTTCTATGCTTGTGTGCACATCATGCTGCCACCTGAGTATGTGCCACCGAGTGTATGTTTAAGTGTGAACCTTGTGCAAGGTCCTGGCTGAGCTCATCACAGGTGAGGGCCGTGTGTGGGCTGCCATCACCTGTCCTCCATCATTCCACCTCCCCTGCCTGTCCCCGCATCTCACGGCTGTTTCATGTCATTCATTAATGGATGCCCCAGGGCCAACAATAGCTCACTACAGCCTTTTATTACTGTCACTTCGCTCTCAGAGCCGTCAAGGTCAAATCTGCTTCACTGTCGTTCACCTGTCACACTCAGCCTGCTGACATTTGTGTTACAGGGAGCAAGAAGCAAGAAGGAATGTGTGTCTAAAAAAGAGGAAGCGGGGGAAAGAGAGAAAGCGACAGAATGACAGAGAGGAGAGGGAAGGGAAATAATAAAACGTCAGGAGAGCTGCCATGTGAACAGATGTAGTCTGTTCTCTGTCCTTGATTAACCGTGATGAGTATAGTTCCTATGAGAATACAATATGTAAGTAAAAATATAAAGGCAATCTGTTTCCTGGGGACAATTTTTAATCACAGGATCATTGGTTTTTGGAAAGAGGTGATTAGTTCTCAAAGACAGTTGAAGACTTAATAAAATTAAATGCTACATCTGCCACAAACTGAAGGAGAGAATTCTAACTTTGATCAATCAATATGATACGTTCTACTACAGTATGTACAATAGTGTGGATGTGCGCTATATGTTTCAAGGATTTAAGGATTGAAATGTTTATTTGTCACATATTCAAGCAATATGAGTTGTGAAATGCAATGTGGCATGCCCCTACAGCTCTAACAAAGAAATCTAAGAAAAGAAGAAAAAAGAAAAAAAGAAATGTTAAAGATAGAAATGCAAATTATAAGGGGTGAGAATCAGAGGGGTGTAATTTACATTTTGGGTGAAAATGAGTTATATATATCAAATGAAAGCTTTTGATGAGCTCTTTCTTCTAGCAAAAGGGCACATTCTAAACCAATCTAGAGTAATATCAAAACCCCAAATACTTAACACTGAACATATTATTTTCTAATATCAAAGGTTGAATTTAATAAACAAAGTCAGGGAAAATGATGGCCATTTTTTTGTTTTGGCTCTTCTGTAAAGTTGGTCAAATGTCACTTACGCCCCTCTGGTTCTCACCCCTTCTTATGATTTATTATAATAGGTTAAGATAAGACTTTATTGAAATTCACAAGCTACCCAGCAATATATAAAATAATTAAAATGAGCTCCACCTTTACCAGCTGCAACATTAATAATGCATCAATAATTATAATCCAATCATTATTCTGTAATAGGACATTATGCATGAGTACTTTTACTTTATTTTAAATATATTTTGATGCCAGTCCTTCTGCAATTTTACTCAAGTAAAATTTTGAATGTGTGAATTTTACTTGTTCAGAGTATTTCTACACTGTGGTATTGCTCCTTACTTAAAGGAAAATATCTGCAAATTTGTTCCAACAATGTGTATTGCTAACTGTATATTTACAGATTCCTTTTCTAATTGTGTTTTAAATTGTAATACTGGCCTGTATACATGGACACCAATGATTTGGTTAGCTGTGAGTTTTGGCATGTTGTTTGCTTTCAGGCTGATTGTTGTAATGATTATCAGGTGTTATCAATGTGACATTGAGGTATCTATTTTGCACACCGTGGGAAATTCCTGATTTGTTACCAACCCTCAGTGTGCAAAGTAAGTGCTGTCTCATTTTTATGTATTTCTCTCTTAGTTTATGAGCCTTTATTTGATGTGTAAAATGAGGATCATTACAATAAATCTGCACATTGTTTTCTCCCTAAAACATGTTTTTGTGTGAAAACAAAAATAACTTTCTGTTGCTAATTGTTTCAAACATCTGGTATACTATTAGTATCTTTATTTAAATTTTTTTAAGAAACGTTGATGTTTAGTGCTACTGTTGTAATTAAGTCAGTGTTTTCACATTTGTGCCGCATTGCTCATTATCCTTGCTTACCACCATGTCTATCTTGAAGGCCCCCGTGACAAGTATCCCTGAGAAAGAGCTTCTCAGTTTAATTTCATGCTCAGAGCTGTAAAATGCCTTTTTGGTGTTGTGAGCATTTTGGGTTTGTGTTAACAGAGAATAACTCTGTTGATGGTGACGTTTGAGGTTGTCATGCTTTTTTTGAAAAGCTGATTTCTTGTAGTTCAGGCTGACTTCATTCTTTGTCTCATAAATGTGGGAGATGATGGAGCAGACTGGAGTAAGGCCTCAGGGGGAAAAGTATGACATCAAGCATCATAAAACTTGGTCAAACTGTTTGCAGAGAACATTAGCCAATGCTGCATGTGGCAAGAACTTTGGACTTAACTCGAGATATCAGGAAACTTGTACAATCCTCGGGACAGGCTGACAGTCAATTATCAGCATATTTTTCTTCGCAGCATTCATTTGGTAGTGGCTATACATCCTCCATTCCAATTCTGGACTTGAAAAGAAGAATTTTTCCAGACAGTGATTTCCTCCAATATCTCGTCTCTCGGTGTCTCTGTATGTGTTTTTAACAGGCAGACCCATGGGGTTACAGTCTTGCAAGCCTTGCAACTCATGCCTACAAAGTAAAGAGGAATGTGGACGGGCTGGTGGCTGCTGGTGTGTGTGTGACGACTGGAGATACTGCTCAGACCGCTGCTGTGACATCTGCTGCCAGATGTGTGTGGACGTGTGCTCTGGCTTGTGTTCAGGAGACTGCAGCTACACCTTCTGTACTCTGTGCCTCAGCCTGGCACAGAACTGTGTCTCACTTTTTACCACCCAACAAACGGAAACATCAGAGGCACAACGTAAGTCTGTCTACAACGTAAGTCTAATGCAACCACTATATACTGATTACTTGCGGGCCAGCTAACTAAATTTAAAATTTATGTTTTTATTTGTTTTAGATGCTATGATGGATCCAGAGCAGCATGCCCATTGAACATGTGACCAAACACAAACGATGCATTGGTTTAAGTACCCATAGCTTCACCAGGTAAATTTCTTGTAGTTGTGTGTGCTTTGTTATCTCCAGAATCTTAAAACATGCTGTAGGATTTAAATGCAACTGGTTCCTTTGTCTCATCAAAGACAAGACAAATGCCAATTTCAGATGCACTGTAACTAAATGAGAAGATTTTGCATTTGAGCTATTTAATCCTCATTGACCTCTAAAATTCCTGCCAAGCCTACTATGGCATAGATCCAGTCATTTATATTGTGGACTTCCAAGTGCATTTCAGTGATAGTATAAGTGCATTTCAGTGGTAAAGAGCTCTGTCATCCCAAGACATTTGGACAATAGTACCAGTCTCAATGCATTTAACCAGAAACAATAATCACCCTCTATCTTGCAGAGGTCAAAACAGGCCTGTGTATCTAAGCTCTCATAAGTTTTCTTGAGTTGACCGGGCGGTGGTAAATCCAAGTTTCAACAAACAGGATTTTTCTCCCTCTCTATCACAAGTTAAGTCTCAGTTTTTTGTCTCATTCGCATTAAGTGCAAAGTTGGTTTAGCTCCACCTGTGTGCCTGCTGCTGTTTTTTTCTCAAAAAAACCCAAGGCTCATCTCGTTTGGTCTTGGATGACCAGACACTTTATTACACCACATCCACTTTGTTTGAACCAATCTAACCTCATCCAATTAAGTTGCAGGAGAGAATAATGAAGGACTAACTTTATGTTATTGAGGACCAGTTGAAAAAAAAGTTATACTAAAGATAATTTTGTTTTGTTCGTTCCCTTGTTAATATTGCATTACATTTAGGACTCAAAACTCAAAGTTTAGGACTTGGAACTTGTCAGTCTTGACTTGGGACTTGAGTGCAAAGATGTGAGACTTACTTGTGCCTTTCAAAACAATGAATTGGTCCCACCCCTGCTGGTAGTGCGTTTTCACTCTGTGCAGGCTGATTCACGGACAAAAGAACAGTCCTATATGGCAGAAAGAGTCTGCACATAGATTTTTCAGATAAGGAAATGGGCACAGTGGAATAGATGGTAGGGCAAATACATACTTGGATAAAGTGGAGAAGCTTCCATTGTAATGAAGAGAAGTCTCAAAATATGAGAGCGCCATGGTGAAAGAAAACTAAAAATGTTTTGTTTGCTTGATGCATTTTCTCAAAATTTGTCATGAGCTGTACACACTTCCCCATTTAACATAGAGCTATTATGCTGGATAATTACAGGAGTGGGTAGGGAAACTGTAGGACCAGCCATACTGCAAGGATAATTTTGAATAACTTGGACAAGAGTGAAGGTTTAGCTGTAGGCAGGCAGCTGTGCAGTAGGTAGGTTAGTAAATTACTGTTTTAGTCACCACATGTAAAGAGGGAAAGAGAATGTGAGAGAAGAGAACTGCCCATGTTCTGAGTCCAAGTATACAGTATTTAGGGAAGAAGAGAGAAAGTAGTGGTTCAGAGGTGGTGAAGGTCTTGACCAGAACCATTAGTGAAGCAGAATAGACGTCTGTCAAGTGGTGACCCCCTGATCAGTGTTTGCATTAATTGAGAACAATTTTACGAGTGAAAAGGGACGGCTTTGTGGTCTGAGATAGGGACACAGAGGGCAGTGAGACGGATTGGATGGAAAGCAGTGGAGCAGACACATCCGAGGTGTGACCCTCTGTTGTGTGTAGGGGGTGTAGGCAGGCTGTGTAATGTTAAGTGAATAAGCTTTAGTCCTAAATCCAACGAGCCAACAAGCCGTAAAAGGTTTGTCTGTTTATTTATCTATTGGTGAATTGACAGAGACAATGCACTCTGATATATGTTCCAGACGGGAGAACATTAAGCAGCATTAGCAGCCATAAATGAAAGCATGCAATAAAGAGTAAAGCATAAATTAAGGAAGTCATGCAGCATATGTAAACTAAGTTATACATTTAATAAATTCATGTAACAACAAAACAAAGACAGTGGAAAAAAAACACATTATTACGGTACAATACACAGATTGTGTTGAGAATAGACAGGTCAGTGAGAAATGATCAGCATAGTCTGGAAATATAGTAGATGCATTAAATTAAAGCAGATTGGAGCCGCAAGACAATTTAACAAGAAACAATTAGAAGGACTGATGGGAGAGATGGTGGATGTGATGGTGATTAAAAAGGTTGATGCAATGGATAGGATTTAAACTTTAGCCTCCCAAATGGCAGGTGAGCAATCTATGATTTTAATATAAACCATATTTATATAAATAATTCAATTTTTATATTTATTTGTGTGGTTGTGTAGTGAAGCATGTTGGCTTTTTGAATAGGTGAACACATTCTATATTTGACCTAGTTTGGTCCAGTGCCACCTGTATTGTTAGAATATTGGAAATAATGCTCCCCCTAGAGGCCTGGGGTCATAGTGCAGTTGCCATAGTGCACTGCACTGATTTGCCAGTTTATTAAAACCTGTACAATCCGCAGCAATCCAGTACAAAAACAGCTGCAACTTTGACCATAGACTCAACTCAAAATGACCATAGAGTGTTTCACAAAAATGTATTCCAATATTGTGGTATTTGTATGCAACTAAATATATGCACTGAATCTAGCAAAGTCATGTAAAGAGATTTAACAATGTGTGTTCTTGCTCTGTCAAACACAAGATATACATCCAGTATTAGGTACTACTCCATACTCATGTGCTCATTGCAAAATAATGGCTGTTTTCTACTGGCAAAAACATCGTAAATATAGTGAATTTCAACTTGCAAAACAATAGTTGCATGAAATCCCACAGAGCTAGATGACCCACAACATAACCCACAGACAGCAGCACGGTCAGTGAAATCTTGATATCTCTCCTTAACATCAGATTGATTGACAAGTGTGTATTGAAGAGAGTCTGACTGCTTCCTTCCACAGCGACTGGGGAGCCAAGCTATGGGCTGCTGTTTAATGAGGACGGGGTTGAGAATCACAGAGACTTTGACAATGGGTGTAAAAAAACAAAAAAAAAAAAAAAACAAGTGCTGTCTGCAGAGCGGCGGTGTGTGCATTCACGTTTGGATTTGTAAGTTCAAAGTTCATGAACTTGTGTGTAAAGAAGAAAAAGAATGTATAATGACTTATTGGGTAGAATCGAAAATATGAGGTTTTGAATTAAGTAACAAAATGTATAAACATGATATGCTGATGGACTGCCTGAGGTATTACAAGTGGTATTTGTATGTTTTCTATTTTCAGAACAAGCTCAAGCGTATCGTTGCTATCATGACTGAACAAAAGCACTCTGAACAAAACAAGCTTTCCTTCTCCTGGGTCACACCCCTGCAATGGCAGAGACTGTGCCCGCTTTAACACTTACCACCTTTCAAGCCCCATGCTGCACCTCATTTCATGTGGATGGATTTCTCTTGTATCTGATGTTTGGTTATTGAAAAGGACGACTGCTATATTCATATTTTTAAGTATGGGACTCTTAAAGAGACAAACGGGATTCCCTGACAACAGCCAAGCCAAAATGTGGCATTTTTCACATCTGGCTGATTAAACCAAAGTGTAGAAACGTCCTCATCCTGGCACCCAAGCAGTACTTCAAAGCACTCGTTTAGATGTCTGCAAGATTGTTTTTGCACTTTGAGGCAAACAAAAATATAATTTGGTTGCACACGGTTGTACAATCTGATATCTTTTTGTGAGATAAGGCCGCCTGAGGACACAAGGTGCTATTCGCTTGCACTGAATTAGACCTTTTTTATTATCCTCCATGAAATTGCTAGTTTATGGAAATTTTAATGATTGAGTGAGCCATGTCCCAGCATCAAAATAAGATTAGAATAAGGTCTAACATCCAACAACACAGAGAGTATGATGGGCTGCACTGTGTCCCCGACTGTACCCATCTCTGCTCCTGTTTTCTCCTCCTCCCAGTCCCTCTGGACTCTGCAGTGCATTCAGTCCGACTCAAATTCATATCCCTCTCAAACTCTGAGGATATGCTGTGTGGCCTAGTTTACTCCTTGAACTGACCTTATCCTCCCCAAAGTTTCCGTGCCTATATTTATAATATCCGCAGTAAATCCTGTGAGCCCTAAACAATTGTTATATACTTTACTCACCTCGATTGATTGATTGTCTCTGAGTGTGGTTTCATTGTATATATTTTTCGGCTTATTTGTTTCAAATATCTAGAGAGGAGAGGGTTGAAATTTTGAAGCCTTAATTGAATATCAGAAGTCCAGAAGGAGATCTGATGTGAAGTGAAATATTGTTCATGAACGTTGCGCTCAGATCAATAAAGATTGGGTACTTAAGTGTTGCAGAAAAGCTTCAATTTTTTTTGCCTCAGAATAGTCTTTTGTGAGTGTATCTTTTACTGTATTTGCTCTATTTTGTTAACACTGGGTCTTCTTGTACAGTGTGAACTTTTACAAATAAATGACACCATATCTTTAAAAATCTTGTCTCAGTGGGGTTTGTCTTGATAGATGTGTTCATTTACAGAATGTGGGTACACACAGTAATAGAAAGTCAGGACGAAGCCCCAAATGACTGAGGTTGTACCTCAAAAATCTGTGGTAGGAAGAACAAAATTTAAGCTCTTGTGAGGATTTTTTCCCACCTTTGCTGTCTTTCATCTTCCTCCCTGTTTCTTATCTCTTTGTGGCTGAGTGCATTTCTACCTCACTCGCTTTCTGTGTTCTTCTCACATGAATTGCATTGCTTTTACTGAATGTCTTCTGGTTAGGTGTGGAGAAAGGCATTGTGAGCTGCTGTCAGTCAACTAGATTACAGCTCTGGAGGATCCTTATTGCTCTCCCTCTAAAAATAAGTAGATGGCTTCTAACTTCACTGGCCGGATATATCTGAAGATGTCTGTTTTTTCCTGTTTTGAGAGGTTGTAGTACAAAAAAACTCAACATGAGAGACAAAATTGGAAGACTAAATTTGAATTTGATTCAACAAAGCTGCTATCATTGAATGCTCACCTACTTTGCTACCCTGTAGATCATAGATAATCTGATCTTAAAAGCAGAAGATAACCAAACAGACGTGTTATGCAAACCTTCAATCCCTTTTCATTTTATTTGTTTTGCAACTATGTTCATATTGTATTTTTTCAGCAACAGTTCTGTGTTCACCTGTCAACACTCCCACTGAACTGTCAGCTTAGGTAGACATACCCTTGTGAGGTTTAAAGTGTTTTCCCCCAAAGAAGAAAAAAAAAACTCCTTTGAGGAGCTTTTTCTCCGTCATTAGTGCTACAGACACATGATGCTCACTGCATGGAAAAGTGATCCAAGCTTATTGCTCCTCATCTGTCCAAATACAACCTCCTGACCAACACAAGCTCAGTCTGAAAAAAAAAAACAGCATGAAGCCTCTTGAAGAGCCTTCCTCTTTGCACTCTTGAAATTGTTTGTATCTTTTAAAAGTCTGGACTTTCAACTTTGAGCATTAGGAATTCTTTGGAGTACAACCTACCCTGGTACACTCTATCTATTACGATATGCTGCAAGTAGTGGCTTTAAAAGTTAAAAAAGGGCAATGGTGTGTGTCCAATTTCAGTTATGAGAGAGTGGTGGTAGGTTGGTGCATGGTCCCTCTCTTTTTGGCCTCCTGCTGCGTGTCAGGCTTTGAGATTCTGGAGATGTGCAGGTGAGACCTGTTGAAGAAGGGCAGGGGCAGCAAGGAGGGCTGGGCCAGGTTTGGGGAGGTGTGTGGGGGAATCATTATTTTTTGTTGAAATTGGATTTTATTTTTGTCCACTCTGAGACCTCCATCTTATCCTGCAACCCAGTCCTCCCACTCAATTTCCATCTCACCGTGCGAGAATTGGAGTGATATAAAGATGTGAGTGAGAGATGGAGAAGACAGTCAGAGATGGTAAAAAGGAGGGCAAGGGAATGGCAAAAGATGCAGACAGCGAGATATAGGGAGAGAGTGAGATGGAGGGCGGACAAGGTGGCAGCACATAGATTTCCACATTTCCAGCGCACAGCAGCAAATGTCTTGACCAGATTTCTTATGATAGCTTTTACTCATGTCGAGAAACAAACTATGTAGCCATCACACTCCAGTAAATAGTTTACTTTACACTGCTACTGTCTAGCATCAAAATACGCACTACTGAAAAGTCATGCATAAGAAACCAGCAGTCTATAAAAATGGTAGGCTATTTGTGAAAAATTTAATCAGTTAAATAGTAATATAGCTTTAAAAAGCATGTATCTAATATTTCTTTGGCCACTTAGTATTCAAAACGTGGGTGAAATGAAACAAAGCCAGCGCTCGCCACTCTCCTCTCAGGTGGAAAGACAGAGACACTCATACATACATATAAATAGTGACAGAGACATTGCTCATCTTGGATGCATTACACGTTGTGATTTGATAACAGGGCGGTGAAACTAAATCTCTGTACTTCAAATGCATTCCAAATCCTCTTTTTTTGTCTACAATAGAAAGTATTTAACAGATTCACCAGCATGCATATAAAGAGGGGGAAATCATTAGCTAAAAGTAAAGAGAGAAATCAATGAATAGAAAAGGGCCCTAATAGTGATGGTGGGACGGGTTGTGTTCAGTTGGTTTGCATTCATAATGTATACGGCGACAGCCCATTAGACAGCGTTAAAAGGAAATCAGATTCTGGCCTCCCTCCAAAGCCATTAGCCGGCGGGGTCAGCCTGAAGACAAACTGGTAATTGACCAATAGATTCAGGTAAATTGCAGGTAAATTGTTGGTCTCTGGGAGGAACAATTATTTTGTTAATAGCATTTTTAACAGTGGATGAGGGGATTTTGGATTACAGGTGTATAATAGCAATGACTGGAAATGTGCCCAGCAATCACAATCCAATCACTTCCAGTTCACATGGTCTCCCGGCTCAAATGCAAACACCACAATGAAGAATTGTTATTGTGCATTCTGAAATGTTGCATTGGAAGAAATGGGGAGCCTTGAAACATGTGAATACAAATACAGAGATGTGTGTTTGCGATGATTCGTAAATAAGAAAATGGGTGGGTGTAAGTTATGCATGAGTGAAGGGTCAGAGTTTCCACTGAATACTAACAAAACCTCAGGAGCCAACTGTCATAATAATGGACACAAACAGTAGTAAGGTCAATGCTTTTGTAGGTGTGTTTTTCTGTGAGCGTGCATGTGAAGCGTCTTGTTTGTGCACATTTCTCAGCTGTGTCTGCTATAGCAGTAGTCATATTCATAATATCAACGTGAATTTAAACAAATCCTCTCTGTGGGTGAGGTGATTAATTCGCCCTTTCTGCTGAATCCTTACAAGAACAGAAAATCTAAATTACTGTAATTGTACATCTGAACAAACATGACAAAAAAGTAACTACTGTAGTAGTTACTTTTTTGTCTATTATTAAAGTAACAGACAATGTGAATGTATTGTTATTGGTGATTAAAACTTTTCAGACACTGTAGCAATTAGTGGAGAATATATTAGCTTTAATTGAAAAACTATAGCTTTCTTTTCAGTTTGTGAAGGACAGTTAGTATGCTGAACACATCCTACTAACAGCAGTACAATGGTTGTTCACACCACGTGCAAGTCATGTTGCAAAGTGAATTCCAGGCTTGGTGCCACAGGACGGAGTGGGAACTTGATCTCACAGTAACGTGCAGGCTTGGATTTGATCAAGGCAGGAGAGCCCAGCAGGCAGCAGCTAAACAATTGCCGTGGGGAAATCTGATCTGCTAGTAAGCACGTCAGCACTCCACACTACAGAAGGCCTTCACCTCTCTGACCTTCTGTAGATAGACACTCCTGGTCAAACATGGGGCTGCAGCTTGGTTGATAGGGAGGAAGAAGAGGAGGTAGGGGATGTCGACGTAGACCCCTTGCCCTGCAGGTATGACTTTCGACAGTGGAAGAGACCTGCTGCTCAGTTACAGTGATGAACGACTTTGCCAACCCTCTGATAATTGCTCACTCAGGGGCAGAGAGAGGTCCATTAATCAAAATGAGCTGAGGTACTGCAGGACTCCTCCACCTATGGCAGACTCCAGCATGCCTCAACAACCCCAGGGCAGACCCGGAGGCATCAACTTCAAAGGAATCCGGCTGGTCAGGACACTGTGATTCTGCAATGACAGTCAGTTCCTCCGCCTGACGGTTCTGCAATCTAACCTGCAGAACAGAGCAGACATGGGTGGAAGATGGGAGGAGTCTCCATTAAGTGACTGGAGAATGGAATAGCCTCTCAGCCTAAACGTGAAGCAAACTGCACTACGCACCGATGGGACTGTCACACAGACGATGTGTCTGAGAGTGAGCGAGGGGGGAGAGAGACAAATAAATGTGAGAAAAAGACAGATAGAAAGAGGAAGACGGAGAGCAGTCTCCCTTCTGCTTTGACAAATTGAGGAAATACAGTGAGAGTAAAAGGTCTGCGATTGATTCTTGCAATAATGCATCAGCTGTGATTTCTGTTCGGGGGTGGTGACAAAGTGTTTATGTCCTATATAAACAGACGGATGCAACCAGATCACTTTGTCTCAAGAGTCAAATCCATTAGATCAACGTAAAGTAATCTTGTTAAGGGACAATTCTGGTCTTCAAGTTAGATTGGCGGGAAATCACAATCAAGGTCACAGTCTCATCTGTTCTGCTGGTGCTGCTATTTAACAGTTTGTACGGGAAGAAAACAATAAGCACCGAGGCATAGTCAAGCTTTGATGTTTATGTTTGCTCCTTCTGCTTTGATCCACAGCATATGGGTTTTGAATGCTGGAATACATATTTTGTATTACATTAGCTTTCATTTCTACCATGATTTTACTTTATGCTGAATGCTTGTTTCTGTAGTTTTGAAACAACTCTTCAATCTCCTGTAAAACAGAGCTGGAAATATTCCAATGAGATGTTGTTTTTTTTATATCAGGGGACCATTAATGAACTCTGAAATTCTTCTCAGACATTGACCAGTGACTTGCTTTGCCTGGTAAAGTCATAGGATGTGTGAGCCTGTTTATTATTTCTAATTTCAGTACACATCCTTTGGGAAATATTTGCACTTCTCACTCTGAGACTGTATGTCTACTTAGAATATTAAAGATTGTCATGAGAGGCAACAGCTCAGGAAATCTTTGTACTTAAGCATATTTATATCTTATCAGTGGGCCATGCTTTGCAAGATTTTATTTATGCAATACACACATTTAAACAAATATATGTTTTATCAACAATGCAACCATGACGAATCAGAAAAAAGATTCCAGTATGTATTCTGCTCAGTGTAGAAGCCATTGTAGCTGTGAATTAATTGTTTCAATGACATGAGTTCAATGGATGTAACAAAAAATAAT